TTTATTTTTTAAAATGGATGATACAGGAACATGGCTAAAAATAGTCCAAATTTCATATACGGGTACGTCGGTACGTTTTTGAAATTTAATCAATATTTTTTTCCATATGTAAAAAGAAAATTTAAATAATAATTAAGTTGTAAATTGTTAAAAGATAAACATGTCACTTAAAAATCAACTATAATTTATTAAAACATCATTTTTTTTAGCTTTTCGTATAAACATTTTAAAAAACGAAGAAACTAAAATTAATCAAAAATATTATTTGATTACTTTTATTTGTCGAGTGTTGAAAAAAATATTAATTTCAGAAAATGTTATTAAATTGTTCTAAAAAAATTATTTATGTTGATTTTATAATTATTTGTCAATCATTTTTGCCAAAGAAAAATCATATTTTAAAATTTTTAAAAATTTTGTAACAACATTAATCATGATATTTTTTTAAANCAATCAATTTGGCCAAAGAAAAATCATATTTTAAAATTTTTAAAAATTTTGTAACAACATTAATCATGATATTTTTTTAAACCAAAATGATCTTATCTAGATCAAAAGAATCAAAAGCATGTTTAATAAATAATGAAAATCATGTAATTTGCTCAACCGATAAGGTTGTAAAATTAGAAGAAAGAGATAAATAAACACAATCAATAAGGTTGTAAGACTGTAAATATACTTCAACCACAATGGATAATTTATTTTTATTTTTTAAAAAGTATTGTTTTAAAGCCCAAAAGTTAAAACAAAATACATGCCTCATACAATAACCCTTCATCTTCTTCATCTTCTTCCCCGGCGTTTCTTCTCTGCAACAATGGCAGCAGCAGTTCAACCGGTTCTGGCCTTGTCTGTCCCGTATTTTGTACCCTTGTCATGTCGTGTTGACACGGGTATACCGGCCAAAATGAAGGGTCCGAGCATCACAAATCATAACCAATGGTTCTTAAGCTTCTCTTTCAGAAAATGGTTAATCTTTCCCATTCCTTTCCTTGAGTTAGACACTCCAAGTTTTTGTTGAGCGCAGATTTTTATGGCTATTACTTAGTGATTAAAATTCAATCACTTTTGGTTTAAAATACTTTTTATTCGCACATTTCATAAGATCCACTTATTATCCACGCATTTCAGACTCACTACCTATAATTACTTAAAATTTAATTTAATCACTCACCAAACATGCACTTAAATACTTCTTAAAGAAGGAGAAGTTAAAAAAACTTCAAATTAAGGTTATGTACTTTTTCTAATAGCAACTTATGAATGTTTTGTTCCAAGAAGTGGATGGAAAGGGAGCAAAAGTGTTACTATAGGCTTTAGAGGAACTGAGGAAGTACATATTCCTTGTAGCGCAAAGACCTCACTCACACTAACAGGCCTAAGGAAAAACTGCCACCCGATTCAATCATAAAATTTGATTCTGCACGGAAGAATTTAAACAGTGGATTACAGGGGACACAACATTTTCTGATTTTACTCTCTCCATTCTCACTAAGCAAGCTTTTCCCAAATCTTCTGTCTTTATTATTTATAAGTGCATCGTTAGGAGGATGTGATTTTTTTGTAATGAATGTTGTGTTGTATGATTTTAACTTCATTGTTTTTTCTCTCTAGTGTAATGAGTGGAATTTATTTGTATGTAACTTTGACTAGAACTTATCACCTTTTAACTTCTTGATCTCTTAGATAAATGTGGAATTTCGAGAATATTTTCTTCTTATTTTTAACTAGCCTATCTGCACACCACGCAAAAGCTTATCATGCTATGGGGATCTTCCTATATTTATTTCTGCTTTCAATCATGATATGATTTTCATTTTTGGTTTGTAAATGCAGAGGCATCATCAAAGTTTGGTTCTGGACTTTTCCTTCTTGTTCAAGTTGTGCTTTTGCTTGATTTTGTTCATGGGTGGAATGACAAATGGGTTGGTTATGATGAGCAGTTTTGGTGAGTTATTATTATTATTATTATTTTTGATGCTGAGCTTGTTTTATTACTTCTAGGTTACTCTTCGTAGATAAAAAGAGATATTTTCCGCATTAGAAATTAATCTCTCTCTGCAGGTACATGGCTTTGCTTGTTGTTTCACTTGTATGCTATGTGGCAACCTTTTCATTCTCGGGACTTCTCTTCTATCTGTTTGTACCGTCTGGACAGGATTGTGGGCTTAATACGTTCTTCATAGTGATAACCTTGATATCGGTGGTTTTGTTTGCTATTGTAACGCTGCACCCATCAGTGAGTTTCTTATCTTCCACTATCTGTTAATAAATTAATGGACATCTTCTCTGTTTGTCTTTGTTAAACTTACCATGGTCTATTGTTTATAATGCTGTTCTTACCTAAAATGTATAATGACCCAGTGATGTATATGAATGACTATTGTAGCTTAAAATTTTTGTCATGCATACATTAAACGTTGAATGCCTGATTCTTACGTAGTTTATTCTGTTTTCTGGTTTTTCGTACACACTCACACTACTTATTATATAAGTGGAGACAGTCTTATCTTTATTGTGTGCATGGGTGTATGTTCACCATTGTCCTTACATTATGTGTTTCTGTATACTGCACTAGATTCTCTGGTCTTCATGCAATATATGAACATTGTTACAAGTTGCAATGATGTAAGAAACTTTGTGGTGGAAAATGAATTTAGTTGTTAATTTATTAGAACATTTTGTCCTCCTGTGGCCAAAGGACATCATTTCCTTCATTACAGAAGGCAAGCTCTCTTTTGATTTGAAGAAGTGTAGATAGTTTTCTGACCGCTGCCTTTTAACTATCACTGCGAGTAAAATGGCGATAAAGGCGAAGCCAATAGTTAATTAATTTCGCCTCGACATCAGATTTGTTTCATCTATATATTTCTTAGGGATCATGAACTTTGCATCTTGTTCTCGATTTGGGTCCTGAGGAACTTGTATCCGAAGATGAAAATATTTTGAAATATGCGTTTCTTCAGTTTTTAGAACTTCACAATTTTGCAATATATGTGGATAAATTACTTTCTATTTATTTTTGGTTGATACCTTTGCTTGCATCTCATTGGTGTGCTATTAATCCATTATTTTCATGTTTGGCTATAGTTTTGTTTTAGTTATCTTATTTATTGTGATCTTCATTATATTGATCTGATCAAATTAATGAATGATGCATTATGCTTTTACAGACATACTGTTTTGTGTAACAAGTAGTATGCTGATAGTGTAATTCATAATTTATGTTGTCATGATGCAGGTTGGTGGAAGCATTCTGCCAGCTTCAGTTATATCTTTGTATTGCATGTACCTTTGCTATAGTGGACTCGCCAGTGAACCTAGGGATTACGAATGCAATGGTCTTCACAAGCATTCGAAAGCAGTTTCCACAGGCACTCTGTCAATTGGGCTCCTTACAACTGTGCTTTCCGTTGTCTACTCTGCTGTCCGTGCTGGATCTTCTACAACTCTACTTTCCCCTCCAAGTTCACCCCGAGCAGGTTTTGAATTTTTCACATGACATAAATTTGCTTGCTTTTGATTTAACTTCCATGGAGCAATGTGCTTGAATCATATCCTGATAAGATGCTTCTTGTTCTTAAATGAAGAAATTTCTTTATCTTACTCAACATTAAAGAACTCGAGTTTTAACTTAGTTTGGTTTATGTTTTACAACAATAGTAATTTCCTCTTGTTTTTGTTCATGGTGTTGGGGCAAGGGCAAGGTTTCTTGTACGGGTGTGCAAATGTGATGCTTCAGTTTCCAATTTCTTTTGTACAAGATTATCATTTTTCACTACATTGTTTCTGACTTGAATGGTGTTTTTTTTTTTTGCTCAAGTAGCTGGGAAGCCTTTGCTACCACTGGACAAGGCAGCAGCTGAGGAGGAGCGTGATGAGAAAGAAAAGTCGAAACCAGTTACATATTCATATTCCTTCTTCCACCTGATCTTCTCGTTAGCTAGTATGTATTCTGCAATGCTCCTTACTGGGTGGTCAACTTCAGTGGGAGAGAGTGGGAAGTTAGTGGATGTCGGTTGGCCATCTGTTTGGGTTCGAATAGTAACTGGGTGGGCAACTGCTGCTTTGTTTCTCTGGTCTCTGGTTGCACCAATTATCTTCCCCGACAGGGAGTTCTAATCATACCAAGTGACATATAAAATCAAATTTCTGTGTAGCATTTCGTGCGTGCCTCTGTACTGAACTAGGATTCAACGTATTCTGATGTATATGTTGGTCGTACTTCTCTATTGCTCATGAGTGCAAATAAATTACATATCAATGCGTGCTTATTGTATCCAGTTTCTAAATAAATACAAGCTGGTTTGTATTAAGTTTTTTTAAAAGCTTAAGTTTTACCTTTATGCTGCTGTAGGCTGAAACAGAATAACGTGACTTAATTGTGCATTTGAAATATGAGAACTAATAGATTGGAAGATTTACAGAGACAGTCGAGTCAACTCAATTTCTAATCTTTATATTTGCTGTCCTGGGAACCATCGTTGTGCCAAGAAATTGTGGTCTCGAGTCCTAATTTTCGCTCCATAATTAGTGATGGTTCAATGGTTTTCAAGATGAAACGATATTGTGCTCGCCCCAATTTTCGACAGGCCAATAAATTCATCCATCTTTGAATGATTGGCATTTTCTTTTGCCATTTTGCATTCTACGACATCATATAGATTTTCACGTTCGATTATTTTCCATCACAGATGGATCATAATAAATATTTCTTCATTCAAAACCGTGCCTTAAACAGGACATTAATTCACAACGTACCAAAGAGCAATGTTCCTCCGTACAAATTAAAACATAGCAGAGAGAGATCAATAAACTAATCTTTCAAGTTCTCATCTTCATCTTTTTTTCTTTTCTCTTGGTTTTGGTTAACAACCGAACAAAAGTTGATCATCCTCAAGAAGGATCAATGTGATCCGCAATTGAAGCAAAACAGCTTTTATGAACCCCAAGTTAATCTGTGCGAAATAAAGAATATAAATTTAAGGTTTTCCATTCACTCAATCCTCCAAATCTCCAGCATTCTCCAATAGGTAGTTCACCGCCAATTCTTCATTGCGGTCACAAGCTAAAAAGGCCTCGATAACAAGTGCCCTATCAAAACCCATAGCTTCCATCTGTATATATTAAAGAAACAATTAGAATAGGTCACGAAAAAGTTGAGGGAGAAAGGGCAAGAATAAAGGGCGAGGAGTTTTTGCATACTCGCTCGATGGCTTCCTGCTCTGCTGGTGTGACACTAACAGCATGGGGCAGGTCCTGCTCAGGCTCGTCAAACATATCCCTAAAATAAAAAGGCGAACATAAGATCAAAACACATGATCTGGCCAGATGATGTCCAAAAAGAAACACACATCTAGGAGATTCCACTACACAACTAGTTGCACACTTAATACTAGAAATTGGATACTCGAATGCGAATAGAATAGACATGACGGTAAGAACAGTTAACTACCTCAAAACACCAAGTCAGTATTCTAGCACACAAATAACCATACTCTTGACAATGTTTAAGAAAGCGTAATCGGGTATTGAGGCGTTTTTCCTTCATGAGTCAAGAGGCATTTGGAGGCATAAGCCTCATAGTAAACCAAAAAAATGTCAAAAATTATTAAAATGCAAAATAAGCTCATAATACATCATAAACAATCTTCAAAATTCATAATAAAACAAATTAAAGTCAGCAAACAAAAGAAAATCTATAACGAAACTATTATTGATTTACTGTAGTTGGTGGAGCAATGGACTACTTCCAAAGTGGCTCTATGAGATAATTTTTACTGTTGGACATAGGATTATTCTCAAAATAAATCAATAACAATTATTATGTTTCGTGAGCCACAAGTCTTAAGGTGGTGCTGTGAGACGTGCCTCACACAACTGATGATTTTTTTTGCATGCCACATTTTGAGGCATGTTTCAACTGGGGTTTTAAAATTATCATTCTAGAGCAAGCAGTTCGAAGCCAATGGCAAAGAAGGATATCCAGAAAGAATCAGAGACAAACATGGTGCTAATTTGCAGAGAAATATTAAATGATAGTAAAAAGCATGCTTCAAGAGATAACCAGCAATTTGGGTTTGTACTGTACCATATTAGATTTTATGCTAGTATGTAAGCACTTACTCTTCAGAACCATCGACAGGTTCATTAATCAACTGAAGGAAGTCTTGATGGTGGTCTTGTATTAGTCTCAAAAGTTGAGGATTTTGCTTTCCAAGCTCCTGAAGCATGGGCTGCAGAAGAAGAACCAGATTATAGCTTTAGAATAAATGATTAATGAAATGTAACCACGTCAGAATAATGTTGAATGACCTGTAAAATTTGTGGATTTGCTTGAACCATTGATCGCAGCGCCTGGAACTGGAGTCAAATAAGAAAGTTGATTAGAATTCCATGATTATAAGGACCTCACATATATTCATTAAGATAATAGTTGAACAAAAGAAAGAACCAATATCTGAGGTCATGTTTTAGTCGATCAAAATAATATATACAAATCACAATCAGAATCCCACCTGTTGGTTGTTCCTGAGGAAATCTAGGGATCCAAGACCAGTAGCACCATCACCAGAAGGGGCCTCCTGGAAAGTTTTAGGCACAGATAACATGAAACGCGGAAAAAGATGAAATACGTGTTAGAGAAGCAAACATAACATGATGACAAACCTGAGGAAACAAATTCAATGGAGATGAATTTGGCCCCACTGAAACAGGTACAGCAGGGGCTGCACCTGTTGCAGCAACAGAATCCACCGCAGCCTGAGCCACAGGCAATGCAACTTCTGCACTTTCAGGGATTCCCTGGTTAAAGAAAAAATATAAGATCCCGTGGGTAACTTTCTAGACGAAGCGTAGAATAGGAAAGGGAATTGGAGCATACAGAATATAAATAATCCACTGCTCGCTCAGGATTGTTATATGCAGCTCGAAGTGCACGTTCAACCGTCTGTTTGTCCCAACTACCACCACCCATATCCATTATTTGTTGAATAGTATGCTCAAGATTATTATTGGCAACTAAGTTGGTAGCAGCCTCAGAATAAGTATCAGACGGGTCACTGCCACAATAAATAATGATTTTTATCAAACACAGCACTTTGATTAATAGATCTGTAAAACATAGACCAATTATCTGAATACAAATATTTTACAAACATACACAGCAATAGCAGCATCCGAAGCAGATGCAGCACTCTTAGGGGCCCTATAAAACAATATTTTCATAATTTAGTATGACGAAAAAACTTAAGCAACAGAAATACTATTACTAATCTTAGATAACAACTTACAATGCTGGTGGTGGTGGAGCTTCAAGTGCAGATGTAGGATTAGAAGTTGGCACAGAAGTAGGTGCAGGCTGCTCAAAAAGATTATGTATGAAAAATCAACTCATTATATGAATTTAAAAAATTAGAAGAATAGACCTCGAAGACAGGAAATGGTGCATTTCTAAAACAATACCTGGGACGATGTCGAACTAGCAGAACCCAAATTTTTGCCCTGCACGTGTAACCAAGAAACAAAAGAAAGAAAACAGTTCAATGAAGACTCTACAACAGAACTCCCAGCTTCCACATTCCAAAATTTCGACGAGAAATTAATATCAGGTAAAAAGAATAGCATCCATGCACGAGTATTTCAGTATCAAATATCAAAGTATAACGCGAAACTTTAAGCTATCAAAATGCAAAGTGCAATGCATTCTCAGATTCAAAGAGGACCATGCTCTTACTTTGCTTAGCATGACCACTAGAAACCCATCTTCAGAGACTTTGTTTTCGGCCAATGTACTTTCATCCTTTAGTACTTTCCCATTATGGATCAACAATTGCTGACCACATGGATAATTGTCTTTGCCTTGCACATCCTCAATATTTTTCTTAACTGCCATAACCTAGTATAAAATCCCAAATCAATCAACACTTGGAAGTGAAAAAAACGAGTTTAAGTAATCCAGAAAGCCATATGCAATTTTACAAAATTATAGTACATTTACAAATGCATAACTAAATCGTTATCCACAGAAATCAGAAATTTAGAATCAATAGTTACATTTCCAAATCCTAAGAATAAAAAAAATTTAGACTCATAGTATACACCTATATCATTCAGATTTATTTAGATTCAATATAATTCATGAGGTTAAATCATTTCACATCACAACAATGTTATACATGGCTAACTTAATTTGTCTTGCTTGCATGATAACCAATTATGAGATTGTGCTGCTTCCTTGATGGGAGGCAGAAGTTGTGGAAAGTATAAAGATAGGGTCCCTAATCTAGCCAATAAATAAGGGCCTCTGACGCTTTATGAAACATCAACAAAAAAGGCATTAGGCAAACGTCAGTCAAAACTCATTATCTCTGAGAAGTGAGAACTATCAGTCATTTTCAAACAGCGGGAAACTTCGCCCACGCCGTTTCTTAATTGCTCCTGGTTAGCCCAACATGGGAAGCCTATATAATGCCAGTGTTAACAGCCGGGCCTTTAGAGCCCCACCCACCAATTTAATGTGGATTATCCACTAATGTTCCGTTCAAGCCAGTTCATCTAATTGATTTTTAACCTTTATTTTTGTGTTGACCGATCAAACATAGGAGAAATATGAATGAAGCTTGAAATATACATGCAATTATTTCTTAATTAGTTATAAATCTCAGACACTAATCAATAACATATGCTACATGTTTTGCGCCGTAAAGATAATCATGGTTAATAGATGCATAATGAATCATTAAATGATATTATTAGCATATTACAAATAGTTTGTGCTGTCATCTAATAATAATGGTTAGTATATTACTTTTAAGTATCCACAACATCTCAAGTGTAGACAATCATATATCAATGATATCAAACCAGCATTACAAGGAAATTGCTGCCTTTGTGACTTGATTAAAGATAATGGGCTTAATATTAAGGATGAGATTTTCCTAGCCCCTCAGGTTCGGAGAATTTACTAGTCTTATCAATAAAGCAGAGCAATTCATACATGATGTGACCTCTTTCCCAAGAACTAAATCAACATTGGTGGATTTAGACAAAGTTCACTTCATAGAACTAAAGCATGTGTTTCTTCAGTCTATTGTCAAATCTCCAATAAATGATACATTCAGTGTAGCAGCCATTACTAGTAATAACTTGTACAATCAAAATTTGAAAAGAAAGCATTCCCTTTAATTGGGGCTGATGGACGTTGATTTCACATTTTGTTTGATCTAGAGGCAATATAATAGCTCAAATATGATCTCATAAAATACCTATCAAAAAAAAAATGATGCTCATAAAATATTGTGTCAGTGAAAGCATCAAGGTTCCTATTGTTGCTTGAGGGCATAACATTTATGATAAAAGATCGATTTATTGCTTCTGGTAAAGCACTGGCCACCACCCTCGAAAGCGTAGGAAAATATTGGATCTCTAAGAGTGTGAGTGAGCACGTAATGAGGAACATTGCTTCTTAAGTCCCTAAAGGTTGAGATTCGTAAATCATTCCTAATGACTTTATTCTAAACCCTCTTCCAAGGGAATAAGAACCTTCCAATATTTATTGCAACACGGGTAAGAAAAATTGATAATAAATGTTCTAACCACGCATGTTTCAGTGAAAGAGAGACTAGAGCATGAGAAAGTTGAAACCACACATATGGTAACATATGGACGAAAACCCCAATAAATGTACTAGTGTCTTAGGCATGATGAAACAAGAGAACTCAATTCAAATTCTTGCTATAAACTTGCTTCTTCTACCAGAAAAAAAGGGGGCACGAAAAAAAACCAATATAAATACCAAAGGTAGTTCGACTTAATTTTTAATCTACCGTCAAGTGCTCATCCACAAAAAATGCAATATGCCCAGCACAAAATCGTATAAAATTCCAAGAAATAACAAAACCAAAATTCAAATTCAGACACTGAACATTAGTTAATCTAAAATACGATCATCCAGATGCCTACACAAATTTAAGTAAATCCAAACTGAATTACGTAACAGTAAAAAAAGAAAAAAAAAATCAGAACTTTTACATTCACATAATTAAACAAAACGCACACACATATAGAAAGAAAAAGTGGGTAACTAACAGTGTCGGTGGGATGAACCCTAATCTGGAAATGGCTTCCTTTGAGGGTTTTCACCGTGAGTTTCATTTCGGCGAATTGCACAAATACTTTACTTTTTTTCCAAAAAAAAAATGGAAATGTAAATAAACCCTAGAACTTTTAAACACTCCGGATCGAGAGAGGAAGAGTATATGTACTGATAATANTGGGAATCTCTTCATCGTAATACATCAAAATATCTGACTAGTAAGTCTGTTTATTGTCCAGAGGTATCGCAATGCCAACACTGTTTTGGCATCTCTTGTTCACGGCTTCTGTGGTGTCAGACTAGTTAGTTTGCTTACATCATAATTCTTTTGTCCAAAATTGAATAACAAGGAGATCTAATTGACATTTCTTTTTCAGAAACCTTTTGTTGATAGTGCTGAGCATCTTACAAAGGATGTTGTATATGTGATTTTGGCTGGTGATAGTTTTGAGTAATATATTTTAATAATCATCACATCTACTTGTGAAGATGGAGATGCGGTCTTACTACAAAATTCTTTTGTCCAAAATTGAATAACATAGAGATCTAGTTGACATTTCTTTTTCAAAAACCCTTTGCTGATGCTGCTTAGCATCTTACTTAGGATGGTGTATCTATGATTCTGGTTGGTTATACTCTTGAGCAATATATTTTATACTTCCCATGTCTGGGACATGGACTCCCCATGTCGCAGGCATTTATGCTTTAAATTGAATTCAACATATGGACATCAGGCAAGCAAATTAATCATATATGTGCAGCTGAAACTTAGTCATCAAATGTTAGTCATTATATGTTAGTCATTCTTTAGTTTAAGAATCGTCAGAAGCAAACTAGGAAATGAATTTTTTAAATAAAATTCCTCACCTTGTATAAAATTAGTTTTTTGTTTTAAGATTGCAGCTCCATCTTAACAAGTAGATGTGATGATTGTTAAAATATATTGCCTAAGACTATCACAAGCCAGAATCACAGATAGAACATCCTCTGTAAGATGCTCAACACTATCAACGAAGGGTTTCTGAAAAAGAAATGTCAATTACATCTCTATGTTATTCAATTTTGGACAAAAGAATTATGATTTATACTAGTCTGACACCACAAAACCTGTGAACAAGAGATGACAAAACAGCGTGGCATTGTGCTGCCTCCAGGACAATAAACAGACTTACTAGTCGGTCTATTTTGATGTATTACGAATTTACGATAAAGAGATTCCCAATAATTGTCCGGACCAACTTAGCTACAAACTTAGGTTAATTACCATAGCCGTCATTGAACTTTAACTATGGTTTCCACCAGGTCACTGAACTTTACCTACGATTTCCTCCAGAATCATCGCCAGTCATCATATTGAGGCAATTTTCTTGCTCTAATACCAATTTCAGTATGGAAGTGTTTATGAATTCTTGTAATAAGAATTATATAATAAATAAAAATGATATTTGAACAATCATATCTTGTATATATTGAATAATAATTAATTATTGTTGAAAAAAATGTACAATATATCTACATTTATAGGCAAAATTATTTCCTACTTATACTACTACTAGGAAACCAAAATAAGAAAACTAATAAAATCTTAATTTAAAAGAAATTAGAAATCACGTTCTAATCCATAAAAAAGGGAAATCATATTCTAAACAAAATATTAGGCAAAAAAAGATAAAACTGATTACAACTAAACTTCGAGTAAATTGTTTGAGTACTCACTGAACTTTAACATGGTCACGACTTACTCACTGAATTTCAAATTGCTTCTAAATGGTCACTGAACTCGATTCCAATTGCCCACCCCACTGTCCTCTGAGTGTTGGATGTGGTGCAATTAATGAAAGTTCAGTGACCATTTGAGGCAATTTGAAGTTCAGTGAGTAAGTCGTGATCATATTAAAGTTCAGTGATCATTCAAACATTTTACTCCAATTATTTTTTGTCAACTAGTCTTTACTCTTTAGTTTATTTTAGGTTAATTATTTGAATGATCGCTAAACTTTCTCTAAGTGATACTATTTCATAATTGAACTTAAAAATGTGTTTATATGGTCACAAAAATATGCATTGTATTATCAATTCATCCCTCAAGTGAAAAAATAATTAAGTTCAACAAACGACGTCGACTTGAATGATGGATGATCATTGAGATGCATTTTTAAATGCAATTATTAGGTCATTCAAATCGACTTTTGTGAACGAATAAACGAAAGAAAATGAAGGGAAAAGAGAGGAAATCGAAAATCATAAACCTATAAATCGAAAAAAATAAAACTTTTACCGATATTCATTCTAAAATAAATGGATGACATTAGTTTTCAACTGAAAATTTTGCTGCCCAAATGGAAGATGTATGATGTTAGATTGGCTCTGAAAACATTTTCGGAGTCATTAAATCCCTGATTAGCATATCTCATTCATTGTAAAAAGTACATTCGATTTTTAGATCAATTGGTATTAGTTCATTGTATCTCAAACTTCGCATAAAAAGCTTCAAAGAGAGACATTAGAAAAACTAAAATAAATTGATAGAGAAAAATTAAATAAAAGTATAAAATTGTTCGAATTAGTGCCAAGGTAATCGAGGTCGATTTGAGTTTCTCTTTTTAGTTTCATCTTTCACAAATGTCGATTTTGAGGGAAAAGATATTGTTACTACTTAATAACTGAATTGTTACTATATGGTTATTGAATTATGCACTTTGTTACTCATTCAACACTCGAGTCAACGTCATTTGTTGAACTTAACGAATTTTTCTCATTAGATGATGGATGTGTAACACGGTGCATAGTTCAGTGACCATATAGTTACATTTTTAATTTCAGTGACGCTTAAGATACATTTTTAAATTCAGTTATTAAGTAGTGACAGTTGAGATAATTAACTCGATTAATTACATTCAAACCACAATTTTTGCTTATTGTAAAACTTTGGTCCATACCTATTTTTCATTGATTTTTTAATTTCAACATTCTATTAATTATCGTATCTTATCTTTGATGATAGTTTCAGCTAAATTTTATTTATTTATTTTTTTTTGTGCTTTAAAATGAGGAAAAAATAATTTGTCACATTTTTCTGTTTTTTTTGTTAATATATGAATATGATTGAAAAATAAGTTATTTTACGTCTCCGAATGGACTTGTTTGACATAAATTAATAAAATATATGAGATGCGCTAATTAGTATAATGTTGAAGATAAAAATGCGTAAAAAATAAAATTAAGGACATAAGCGCTATAGTAAGGGAAAATTGAGAATTTTAAATGGAACTAAAATGTGATGTAACGAATGAAAAATGTAACGTGAATATAATTATCCTTCATTTTATCATGTTAAAAGTCTCAAATGCCCTTAATTTGAAATGTTTATAATGTCCAATCTGAAATCAAAATTTATTCAATCCCCAAACATAAATCTCAACTTTCAATCTCACTTTTCATACTCAATTTAAAATCAACGGCAAAATAATATGCTACCTTTTTAAATGATTTGAGTGTCATTTTAACTCATTTCGTGTTCGTTTTCTTTTATATTATCGCGTATCTACATGCAAATTAATGAAAACAACTTTTTACTATATTTGGAATAAAAGTTGATTTAAAACAGCGTGTTTTTGTTATAAACAATTCATTGACGTTTTAACCAAATTCGCGTCCGTTTCACTTTATATTGTCTCGTACTTACATGAAAATGAACTTAGAGAAGTTTTCGCTATATTTGGAGTAAAATTAAGACCCCGTGACCAGAACGACATGCTATCATTAAATAGTTGTGTGTTGTTTCAAATATTTTTGTGTTAATTTCACTTTATTTTCACTTATATTCATATGAAAATGAATGAATGTAAGTTTTTACTACATTTGAAAGTTAAGGTCGATGCAAAAGTTCATTCGATAGTGACCAAAATATTTTTCCGAGAGTAAACAGCACTAGACTTCATTGAGAATGTAGGTGAGTAACCCAAATTTGACTATATTCCAATAATGAGACAAGTTACTAGGAAGATTAGCTTGTTTTAATTGTCCGAGTCTTCTAATATGTTTCAAGATATGATGTACTAGTTTGGAGTGAAATCAAGATCTCGTAACTCAGAATGACATGTTGTCTTTTTAAATGGTTTGGTGTTGTTTTAACTAATTTTGCATTCTCTTCACTTTGTATTTACTCGTATCCAGATGAAAATGAACGAATGTAAATTTTCACTATATTTGAATATCAAGGTCGATAAAAAGTTTACCTAATAGTGACCAACAATATTGTTCAGTAAGTAAACCATACTAGACTTCACTAAGATCGAAGGTAGGTAACCCAAATTCCATTATATTCCAATTATGCTATAAAATACTCAATAAATTAGTTTGTTTAACTTGTATAAATCTTCTAAAATGTTTCCAGATATGATCGACTAATTTTGGAGTGAAATCGAGACTTCATGACAAAAACGACATACTAATGTTTTAAATGGCTATGTGTCGTTTCAATTAATTTCATTTAAAAATTCGTCAATTTTACTTTATGTTCACTTGTATTCACATAAAAATGAAGTAATGCAAGTTTTTGCCACATTTGAACACCACTATCGATACAGAGTTTAGGCGATTGCAACAAATACTATTGTTTCATTAAAAAAAAACTGCATTAGACTTCACTATTAACGAAGATAAGTAACTTAGATTCCGTTGTATTCTAATTATGAGATAAGATACTCAAAAAATCAACCTATTTAAATTGTATGTCTTTTAAGATGTTCTAAAATCTGAACAACAATTTTTATAATAAAATCGAGACCTCATAACCCAAGCGACATGCTGGCGTTTTAAACAGTTGGACGCCATTTCAATTAATTTCTTATCTATTTAACTTTATATTTACTCATATCCACATGATTTAAACAAATGGGTGCCGTATTAACTAATTCGGTGCCCGTTTCACTTTATATCTACTCACACGACCTTAAAAATGAACAAAGACACATTTTCACTATCTTTGAATACCATGATGAATACAAAATTCACCCAATAATGACCATAATGAGAGGTTTCAAAAATAGGGAACATG